CTGCAACATACGATCTTTCAATACCTCTGTCTCAGAATAGCCGTTCAGATTCACAGCCACATCCCGATTTGCATCTGCATCGCTAGATTCTTAAGTTTTGGAGAGTTTCGCCTGCGAGTTGCGGACGTTCATCAGGCAGCGTGCACTTCTTTGCAAAGCGAGTCGCTTGTCAAACGCACGCGGGGCGGCTTCCAGAACGCAATCAACGCAGCCCTCCCAGATTTTCCCGAAACGAAAAAGCAAAAAATCTGCACTGCAACGCGGAAGCCCCTAGAAACCGAACTATCGGATCCTTACGTGATCATATGTGACCACAAAGCCAACTTGCTAAAAAAAACAAACTCTTAACTAAGCTCGCGAAAACTTAGTGAGTCTTTTTTCGTTAAGGGTATGGGGTTATCCGGGACCCCCTAACAGTCGAAAGTTCAGAAACCACCAGGGCAGGTCCTGCCGGGGCTGCCAGCACAAAGGCTTGGAGAAAGACGCTGTGGCGTCAATTGCTGATGAACGTGGGCAAGTCTCCAGCACCCTGGAAAAGCAGTAATTATGCTAGGCTTTTGGGGGTTTAGGGCCCACGGTCAAGAGTTTAGGGCTTAGGGTTGTAAGCTTAAGGGTTTGGCATAGGTTCCAGGATCCGGGGTTTGGAGGCTGAGGGTGTAGGATTCGTGGCTCATGGCTACAAGTTGGGGGAAGGGTCTGGGGCTGCGAATTTCGGGGTCGGAAGTTGCACATATGTAAAGTTGTTTTCCACGCAGGGAGGCTAGCTAAATTGAGGGGCTCGAGGGTTAGGTTCGTTAACATAATTGGACCTGTTTCGAAGTCGCCAAACAGGTGCAATCAATGTCCCGTTTTAGAACCCCTTCATGGTCATGGAACCACCAAATTTAGAGAGCTACCCTGAACCCCAAGCGTTACATCCTCTATCCTGAACCCTACACCTCAGATCCTAAATCCCAAACCTGAAGAACCACATCCTAAACCCCATATCCAGAGGGGTGTACCCTAAACCCTGAACCCTAAACCCTAAACCCTAACCCCTAACCCCCCCCCCGCAGTTAGCACGTTTGCCTACCTGCTCCTTCCTCGAACCTCCGATGTTTTGCTTCGGGAGCGAGGCAACAGCAACTCTGGCTTCAAGACTTTAGGGCTTTCAGGGTTTAGTTTAAAGTTTAGGGTTTACGGTTTAGGGTTTAGGGTTTGGCTTTCAGGGTTTAGTTTAAAGTTTAGGGTTTAGCATTTAGGGGACAAGTTGTTTTGTTTGGGGGGTGGGGTGGGGGGTTAGGGAACGGCATTGAACTGCTGAGCAGAATCGACAATCTCGTCTTACAGAGGAGTATGTAAGTAAGAGCGGGACACGTCGCCGTAAGTTTCAACACTTTGTGAGCATGCGACGACATCACAGCTTCTGCAGTACTTGAGGAAGGTCGCAGAAGAGCGAGGTACTCTGTCCCTTGTGTCCTGTTATCTTTGAGCTGTTTATCACCGTGCACTGATCAAGCATTCACACGGAGGGATTCGGGTAGTGAGGTTCACGGGTTTGGGGTTTAGAGGTTCAGGGTTTGCATGCAAGTTCGAGTACTCTTGATTTCGCGACCCTGTGTGCGAGCTGCATACCCCAACCCCAAAAGACCCTGAATGCATGCATGCATGGATGGATGGAACGGATGGAATGGATGGGGTGGATGGAAAGGATGCAAGACATGACATGAAACTGCATGAGCTGAATGAATGAGGTGACATGCATTGAATGAATCACACAAAATGAAACGACATGACATGAAGATGACATGAACATGAACTGAAGTGAACATGAAATGAAAGAGTGGATCAATCAAAAGATGAACGCATTAATGATTGATGGAATGAGCGACGTGGATGCGATGGACCTGTGCGGCTTATTCGCCTCAAGGTCTCTGGTTTGGGCTTAGCGCAGGGTTTAAGAATGCACGGACAGCACCTAAACCCTAAACCCTGAACCCTAAACTCTAAACCCTAAACACCTAAGGACCTACACCCTAAACCCTAATTCCTAAACCCTAAACACCTTAACCCCAAACCTTAAGCCTTAAACCCTAAACACCAAAACACCTAAACCCTAAACCCTAAACCCTAGACCCTAAACATCTAAACACCTAAACCCTAAACCCTACACGCCTGGCCTTCCAGGAATTGGGCCAGGTACTTGTTCTCAGTCTTCGATCTCATGTCTTGCACCTTCCAGGCCCAAGACCCTCACTCCGAACCCTAAACCAAAAACCCTAAACCCTAAAATCCTACGGTCCTAAACCCTAAAACCCCAACCCTAAACTCCTACACCCTAAAACCCGGAGAGCACAAACTCAAAACTGCAGGACCCAATCCCAAAACCACACACCCCGAAACCCACAAAGCTACAAAAGAGAATTAATACCGTCATCCTCCCCTGACAATACCAGTCTGCTAAGGAGGTTTTAAGGGATCTGGTTTTTGGAGTTCGGGACAGCAGAAATCCAGAAGCCACGTGTCCTAGCCATTGCTGACCGTGGTCTCCTGCTCTTGACTAATATAGGGGCCTTAGTAACTAGAGTAGGGTTTTGGGGCCCATTATACTATAACAAGCAACCCCCCAGCATAATTTAGGCAATTAAATCTTAAGGCCCCTAAATAAGTAGCACTCATAGTTGCTATGAAGAAATACTTACCGTGAATCACAAGATGCGTGCTACCTGGCTTCCGGCCGTTGGCAAGCAGCTGTAGGCCAAACGTGATCTGTCGTATGTCTGTATGTATGTATGTATGTATGTATGTATGTATGTATGTATGTATGTAAGCATGTATGTATGCATGTATGTATGTATGTATGTATGTATGTATGTATGTATGTACGGATGCTATTCTATCTGCATGTAGGTAAGTAAGTCAATTAGCCTGTGGTATAGCTGTATATTGTCAGAACATGTAATATTAGATCATCGGATTTTATGGTATATTCTTATACCCTAAACCCTAATCCAAAAACCTGAACAACTGCCTGAATCTCGCGGAGATCTTGGCCCTCTAGGCCAAGACGTTCAAGCTCTTCGGGCACTATGTCTTGGAGGTCGATGCCATGCAATGCAGAGGCCTGAACTGGGGTTTGAAGTAACCAGGGAGAAAAAAGATAAACAAGTATAGACGTTTATTTTATATGGCTCCTTTAAGGAACAGGTCCCCAAAAAAGTATTCAAGTATGGTACTCCAAAGCCCAGTGAAGAAGTAACATGGCTCTTCAAAGGTTCTGCAATCTTTGAAGGCTGTGATGAGGGGTCAAGGGCGTTATTTAGGCCTTCATGCTCAACCTGAGAAATGTGAAACTTGCCAACTGTTCAAGCCCCTACAGTCGGTCCGGCGCATGGTCCGTGCTCTTTGTTTGGCTTTGCGGGCTTCATTCTGAGATCTCTGGTGGGGAGTGTTGGAGGGGACTATCGCAATCTAGGTTCGAGGCACCCCTTCAACTCCCAATCCCCAACTGGGACCCCGAATCTTCGATTGTTTGCTTGCACTTAGGAAGTTGTGTTTAGGGTTTAGGGGTTGAGGGTTTAGGGGTTAGGGGTTTAGGTTTGGCATTCAGACTGCCCTAACCCTCTCCAAACCCCAAGCTCTTCACCCTAACCCAAACTTTACCGGAGCCCCGAAAGGAAATCTGTAACTAAGGAAAACTAAGAGGAACTCGAAAAGGAACTGGAAGGAACCCTGGAAGAAAACCTTAACCTATTAGCTTCTTTGAAGGAGTCCCGCCTAAAGCCCTAAACCCTAAACCCTAAACTCCCAAACCCCTAAACCCTAAACCCTAAACCGGTCCTCGTCGAGATCCGCAAACTCCGCAGTCCCAGAACCGAGGCACCCCAGAGGCAGCAGCCACGGCAGCAACATTGCCACGGCAGTTCCCGGATCTTCCAAAGATCCCTCAACGGTTTAGGGTTTAGGGTTTAGGGTTTAGGGTTTAGGGTTTAGGGTGCCGCAAATCATATTAGGGATCCGATTATGATTTAAGGGGCATTCCTTGGTGAAGGGTTTTAAGCTTGACTTACCGTGCAGGGTCTCGGGTTAGGGGTGTAGTTCAGGGTTTAGGGCTTGGGGCTTAAAGTTCTGGGTTTAGGGGTTGGGGTTTAGGGTTCAGGGTTCAGAGTTCAGGGTTTAGGGTTTAGGGTTTTGGTTCCAGATTCAGGGATTAGGGCTTCACCAGTGTAAGCCTGATTCATTGATTCGGTACAAAACGGCTGATGAATAATTTGTCGAAACAGAAATTAAGAAAGGTTCAGGACATGTAATACTGTCTTGCTTGAAAATTAAGCCCTACATCTACTTACATACCATAAGCCCTGACCAAGAGCCAAGAAGACTGATGCACAATGGTTCTTCCTAGACCCTAGAATCCTCTCTGGATACCCAAATTTTAACCCTATGATCCTATCGTACGAAGCTAAGGTAGCCAATCATAAGTACACCATCTTAAGGTATATATGGGTATGCCTCAAAGCTCCAAGCCATGACCCTAAACCCTAAAACCTAAACCCTAAAACCTAGAGCCTAAATCCTAAAACCTAAACCCTCAACTCCAACATAGGAGCCCCCGTGGCCTCGAAAGCATGCCCTCCGATTCAACAGACAAGTCCTACACTTCAGGGTTCAGGTGTCGATAAGCATCTGAAGCTCAGGCACCAATTCTCGCCTGTGGATCCCAGGTCATGGACCCTGAACCCTAAACCCTAAACCCTAAACCCTAAACCCTGAACCCTAAACCCTAAACCCTGAACCCTAAACCCTAAACCGGTCGAGTTTGAATCTGTGGGCGTTCAGAGTTCAGGGTTCAAGGCTTGCCGTTTAGAGCTCCGGGCTTTGGGTTAGGATTTACGGTGTAGGGCTAGGGGCTGAGGGCATGGATGGTGTAGGTCCTGAACAAGGAGCCTCAATAATCAAAATATGGTCGTAAGGTAGGCTATAGCAAAACTATCCAGCAACGTGAAGACAGTACTATCAGCAATTCTTCCGACCCCTATATTACGGGCCTCTCTTCCCAAGGGCGTCTATAGGGTTCAACGCTTGGAGCTCAGGGCCACGAAGGATGTGCTTTTGAGGACACCCCGGAAGCAAACTTAGGGTTTAGGGCTTCCAGTTCTAGGGTAATTTAAAGATGTGCTCCTGCGGAGAAGGATCCTAATTTAGCTAACCCCCGCTCCCTCCAACGTTGGGGCCTTCGGGGTCTTGCTGAGATTGTTGAAAATGTGGGCTTTGTTCGGGGCTTCGGGTTGAGGGTGGTTTTGGGCTTCTTTCGAAGGATCGTGGCTCAAGAGCTGGATCCGGGGAAACCCCCTAAACCCTAAACCCTAAACCCTACACTAAACCCTAAACCCTAAACCCCAAACCCCAAACCCTGAACCCGAAAGTTTAAGACTCTCAACCCGAGCCAAAAGTCCCGAAATCCTTGAGAAACCCAAACCCTCTGGTCGGCCTCTGGAGACCTCTTGAGAGTCTACAGCGTCAGCTGCTGAAAGGTTACACCCTAAACCCTGTAAGCCCTAAACCTCAAACCCTACTTAAAGGATCATGGGACTTAGTAAGTAGGGTTATAAGTAGGGTAACTATACTTATAACCCCAACTAAGGGAGTTATAACCTTACTTACTAAGTCCCATCATCCTCCAAGTACATATCAAGAGCCAGAAGGCTGCCGAACCAGGTTGCTACATGGGACCGTATGCCTGGAGCATGGTCAGGTGGTCTGACGCAAAGCCCTTGTTGAAGTAGTCCTTGCCTGTGACCTGCTGCATCGCAGGATTGGGGCTTGTAACTTGAGCTTGGGGTTTTTAGGGTTTCTGGCCCCTAAGCCCTAAACATAACCCTAAACCCTAAACCCTAAACCCTACCCCTGTCTTCTGAATTCTTTTGGCTGTACTTGGTGGGCCTGGGGCAAGAATCATAACCCCTTCGGCCTCCGTGCTTCAATCAGCATCCGGTGAGGATGACATGTTGGGGTTCGGGTTTAGGGTTTAGGGTTTAGGGTTTAGGGTTTAGGGTTTAGGGTTTAGGGTTTAGGGTTTAGGGTTTAGGGTTTGGGGTTCAGGGTGCAGGGACAATTTTAGAAGGTCTGGGGGCCAGAGGTTCGGGGCGCTATCTGGGTTAAGCATTGAGAACACACAGCCGAGCACAGTCCGAGTATCTCTCAAGCAATGCGAGAGGAAACACACACACACACACA